CAGCAGTATCAGCAAAATATACCACCTGTACAATTACCATTTTTTATATTGACTTAGCTTTTCACTCAAAATATTTTTCCCCCAAGCTATGTATTTACATTTAAAAAAAAAAAAAAAAACAACCCTGTCACCTTCAAAGTACTCTCCATTACATTTAATGCATTTGTCAAACCTGCGATTCCCTTCGTGGAAACATTTTCAAACTCATCCGTTTGGGTGACTGACAGCACCTCCCTTGCATTTTTATTTACCTCTTCTACGTTGTCAAATCCCTGTCCTTCTTCATTCGAGGAAACAAAAAGAAGTCCCACGGAGAGAGGTCAGGTGAGTATGGTGAGTGGGGCAAGAGAGGCATGCTGTTTTTTTGCCAAAAACTGGCATATTGAGATGGCTGGGTGAGCAGGTGTATTGTGGTGGAAAAACCAGTCCCCAGTCTGCCACAAATCAGGCCTTTTTGGCCACATACTGTACAGCTATCTTTTCAGAACCTCTAAAAAGAAAGCTTGATTAACAGTCTCACCTGGTGGAACTCCAAATGCACTATGTCACTCAAAGTATTATATTGAAAATTGAAGTGGATACCATTATTGCAAATGGAAAACCAGTGTCTTTTGTAACTATAAAAGTAAATACAATGAATATAAGAGTGTGTTTTTTTATTGTATTTGCTTTACACTGGCTATATATGCATTACCAGCACCAAGAGCCTTAGTTTAAAGATTTGCTAGTTGACGTTGATTAGCTTGTGTTTCCTAGGGACCTTATGGATAGCAGACCAAATATTGTCTGGTCCTACGTTGTCTTCATGATCACAGCTATGTTTGAGTTCATTGTTTCAGCCACCATATTAGCCCATCTCACTGAGTACCTCCTTGACCTCCACAGGTTTCTCCACTTTCAAGTGACTGATCTTTCCTGGTGATGTGTCCAAAGTAAGGAAGTCAACGTCTTGCCATCCTTGCATTCCAGTGGCATTTCTTCTGACTAGTTAATGTACATTTTGGTCCCAGTGGTCCAAAGTATATTTAATATTCTTTGCCTCAATTGGACCTATTCCACCTCTACTGGAAGGAGATCCTTATTGTTGTTGTGGTTAGGTTCCATTGAGCTGGTTGTGACACATCGTGACCCTCTTCTGTACAACAGAAGGAAACAATGCCCAGACCTGTGCCATTCTCACAATTGTTGTCATGCTTGAACCCACTGTTGCAGCCACAATGTCAGTCCATCTCATTCCAAGTCCTCTTCCGAATCCAGCCTGAATCTCTGGAACCTTCCTGTCAATGCAATGCTGCAATCATTTCTGAATTATCTTTGGCAAAATTACTGACATCTGATATTGATGATATTGTTCGATACTTTGTACATTTTATTGGGTCACTTTTTTTTTTGAATGGGAAAAAATATAGCTCTCTTCCAGTTGGTTGGCCAAGTTGTTTTTTCCCAAATTTCTTGGCATTAACAACTAAGTGCTTTCAGGGCTTTATCAGCTGGTTGGAACATTTCAAACAATATTCTGTCAATTCATGAAGGCGTGTTTTTCACGAATGCCTTTAGTGCCGCTTGGACTTCTTCCTTCAGTACTGTTGGTTCTAGATCATATGCTACCTCCTGAAATGGTTGAACCTCAACCAATTATTTTGGGTACAGTGACTTTTAAAATTTCTTCTATTTTCTTTGATGCTTCCTGCCTTGTTCAGTATTTTGCCCATGAAATTCTTGAATTTTTCTTCAGATTTTTTTAGCTTGAGATATGCTGAGTGTATTTTTTTTTTGGCCTGCTAACTCCAGGTTTTTGCACTTAGGTGATTATAATACTTGTCTTCTTGAACTTCCCTTTGGAATTTTCTATTTCGCCCATTGACCTCATCATTTCTTCTATTTGCTTTTGCTACTCTGTGTTCAAGGACAAGTTTCACAGTCTCCTGTGAAATTCACTTTGTTCTTTTCTTCATTTCCTGTCTTTTGAATTGCCCTCTTGTTTTCTTCATGCATGATGTTCTTGATGTCCTCCCACAGCTCATCATGTCTTCTGTCATTGGTGTTTAATGCCTCAAATCTGTTCATGAGATGTTCTAGAAATTTACGTGGGAGATACTCATGGTCCTATTTTTCTTCTGTGGACTTAGTTAATTTTCTTCGGCTTCCACTTGAACAATTGATCGTCTGTTCCACAGTTGGCTGCTGGCCTTATTTTAGTTGATGTTATTGAGCTTCTCTATTACCTCTTCCCACAGATCATAGTCAATTTGATTTCTGTGTATTCCATTTAGTGAAGGCCAGGTGTACAATTTCCATTTATGTTGTTGGGAAAAAAAGTATTTGGAACAAGGACGTCATTGATCTTGCCAAATTCTATCATGCAATCTCCAGTGTTGCTTCTTCCACCAAGGCCACATTTTTCAATCTGTTCCTTCCTTTACCCCCACTTTTGCTTCCCAGTTGCCAATAATTATCAGTGCATCTTGATTGCATGTTTGATCCATTTCAGATGAAAGAAGCTGGTAGGACTCTTCAATTTCTTCATCACTAGCTTTAGGGGTTGGTGCATAAACTTGAATCACGGCTGTATTAACCGGACTTCTTTGTAGGCACATAGAGATTATTCTATCACAGACGGCATCGTGCTTCAAGATTGATCCTGGAATGCTTTTTGGATGATGAACGCAACACCATTCCTTTTGAAGTTCTCATTTTCAGCACAGGAAACCATCTGATTATCTGGTACAGGATGCTCGAGATCAGTCATTTCAGCTCACGAATGCCTTTATTGTTAGGTGTCGTCAAGTCCGTCTGGCTCTTCAGAATGAAACAGTCCGCAGGCCTATACCATCTTCACAGTTGCTAGGGATGAGCCCATCGTTTTGGCCATGGTGCCAATACATTTTTCTGAGGTTTTCCTCTTTTCAGCTACCCTTCTACTTTACCAAGTCTGAGGACCTTTTCCAGGGACCGAGTGCTCTGGATCGCATATCTAAAATATGACCAAGTCTCATCATTCTTGCTTCTAAGGAACATTCTGGGTGCACCTCTACCAAGACAGATTTGTTTGTTCTTTTGGCAGTCCATGAACTTTTCAGCATCATAGTTCAAATGCTTCCATTCTTCTTCAGTCTACCTTATTCACTGTCTAACTTTCACATGCATATGTCGCGGTTGAAAATGATTTGGGTCAGGTACAACTTAGTCCTCAAAGTTACATCCTTGCTCTTAAAACTTTAAAGAAGTCTTATGCAGCAGATTTACCTAGTGCAATAACCATTTAATCTCTTAGCTGCTGCTTTCTTGAGCATTGATTGTGGAGTCAAGCAAGGTGAAATACTGGACAACTTTTCTGTTTACCCAGATGTTTTTGATGGTTCCAGTACC